CTTTTTACATACTAGAGAACTTAGGCCTTAATCATGTGAGTTTTAGGCTCCCCTGATTACCCTCCCACAATTTACTATTTGACTTTTGATTTTTACTTGTGGCCTATTTTGCCAGGTAGAAACCTGTGATTGTTAGTAGCAGGATTTTTTTTTTTTTTTTTTTGAGACAGTCTCACTCTGTCACCCAGGCTGGAGTGCAGTGGCTCGATCTCGGCTCACTGCAACCTCCATCTCCCGGGCTCAAGCGATTCTTCTGCCTCAGCCTCCCAAGTACCTGGGATTACAGGCGTCTGCCACCACGTCTGGCGTGTTTTTAGTAGAGATGGGGTTCCGCCACCTTGGCCAGGCTGGTCTTGAACTCCTGACTTCAGGAGTTCTGCCCACCTCGGCCTTCCAAAGTGCTGGAATTATAGGTGTAAGCCACCGTGCTCAACTAATTTTTATATTTTTGGTAGAGACGGGGTTTCATCATGTTGGCCAGGCTGGTCTCGAGTAGCTAGGACCACAGGTGTGCGCCACCACGTCTGGCTAAATTTTTTTATTTTTTTGTAGAGATGGGGGTCTCACTATGTTGGCCAGGCTGGTCTCGAACTCCTGGCCTCAAGCGATCCTCCTGCCTCGGCCTCCCAAAGCAGTGGCATTACAGGTGTGAGCCGTAGCACCTGGCCTTCTCCTAGTAATTGGATGAGTCCATTTGTTTATATGTGAATCTGGTGGTGCAGGTTGTGAGGTGTGGCCCCCAAGCCCACAGGTTTTTGACTAAGTACTCTTCCTGTGGGCGCCTGGCTTCCTGCCTGGGCGGCTTCTCTGTTCTCATCTGTGAGGAGGGAAGTGAAAGCAACAGAGCTTGGAGACGCCGGCCTGTTCCCGTGGGGGTTGGTGTCAGCGTCTGCAGAGCTGCCATTTGAGCTTCTGTTCAGAGCTTAGCTGCGCCTCAGCTTCCCAGGCTGCAGAGTGCGCACACGGGACACTCATTTCTCCGAGGGTCCTGTTGCGGGTGCCTCCTCCCGTTCTTTTTTTTTTGAGCTGGACTCTCTGTTGCCCAGGCTGGAGTGCAGTGGTGCAATCTCGGCTCACTGCAACCCTCGCCTCCTGGGTTCAAGCTATTGGCCGTTCTTGTGCCTCAGCCTCCCGAGTAGCTGGGATTACAGGTGTGCACCACAACGCCCGGCTAATTTTTAATATTTTGGGTAGATATGGGGTTTCACTATGGTGGCCAGGCTGGTCTCAAACTCCTGACCTCAAGTGATC